AGGCACTAGTTGAAAGAGTTGTTTTCATGCTATAGAACTGATTCCTGAAACTGTTGCTTCGTTGCTCTAATATTTTTATGAGCTTGCCCAGATTACAGAAATGTGAGAGAATTCAGTATTCTTTTGGTGTGATTAAATCCGTACAAACGCACCGTAATGATCTTTTTGGACTTTGACCATACACAGGAAAGCACGATATTGAAAGCACCAATAAAATTAATGAAGCAAGCACTTCATATTCATATTTTATGTGATTTATTCAAGACCGTGAACAGCTTAATAAGGTTATTACATTCATTCATTATAATTATTTTTCTTACAGGTTACACTTAAAGCAGCTTTCACTTGAGTAAAGTCAGGTTGCAGCTGCAAAGTTCATGCATAAAACATACGCCTCACCATCTGCGTCATAAACACAGTTGAGCACCGTGCTATCTCAACTTCTCGAAGGTCATCGATTTGCCATCCGTTTTTTAATTGGTTGCACCGAAGCACAGCTCGATGAATTCTATGCTCAAAGGTAGTCGCAGTTAATAAGAAAATTAACCCTCTGCGCTAATGCCCCACCTCTTGACCTCCCTCCTCCTAATTAGAGGCTATACTGTCATTTTCATCGAAGTCACAATGGATGTTGAATGCGTAAATCTGCAAATTAATGAGCTATTTGAAACGGTATGCAATAACTGTTTGATTATTGTCAAAAATCAGTTGCAAACAGGTGCGCAGCAATTTAGAATTATTACGATTTACATTAACTTCAAACCTAACTCTTTTCAGAACTGGATTATCACAAGAAAATGAGCAGAGATAAATTTCTGTTTTTTAGGTCGTTTCATTAAAGAAGATGATGCATCTGTCCAGGAGATTTCCTGTGAAGTTTCAAAGATAGTTGACGTTTCAAAGGCAATTGCTCACCATAATGTGGATCACTGTCCTACTTCCTCACCATAACACTTTCTGTTGCGTTTGTCATTCTCCATTTTTGCACATTCAATCTTTAGTTGATTGCTCATAATTTAAAATACTGTTTATACGCTATTGTTCTTTAGTTCATGCAGAAAATGATATTTCAAAAGATATTTGGTGGTATTCCCTTTTTGTGCTGCAAAGCACTAGGAAAATTATAATAATATAACATTTCGCAAGCATTTGGAAGAGACCGGAAATAGAAGCGGTTGCCAAACTGATTGAAAGCTACACTGATCATCATCATCATCCTTTGTCGATTCACAGTCGGATGAAGGTCTGTCCAGCATGTTCCCTGCTGCTTTTATCCATCTCAGTCCAGGGTACCATTTCGTCTTATTCTGCCGTCGATCTGGATGTTTTTCAAAGAGCCATTTACCCTATCTTTGAACCTAGTGCAATGTCTCTCTGGTCCAGGTCCGGCGATGGTCGGTCGGTTTCTCCTGCAACAT